TGCTCAAGAATATAGTACATACTGTATTTTCATATGTCAAATGTTTATCATATGAAGGTAAGAGAGAGCCAATTTTTTCTTTATTTTCTATAAAAAATGTATTTTATTATGTACAGAATATTGAAAAAGTTAAATCAATTTATGCTTTATTAGCATTACCTCTGTATACTGCAATAAAAAAATTCTTAATCTTAGAGGAAAAAAAATATCGGTGAAGTGATATGTGCTCTTAATTCACAAACTAAACTAATAACGGACTATATTGGCTCGGACTGCTTGGCCTGTCCGTGATTCGATAATCTTGGGTATGACCTATCTCGTGAGTTGGGTACTAGTTACCTTAGGTACGAGTTGTCTTGGGTATGATTTTTCTTGGGTACGAGTTGTCTTGGATAAGAGATGACCCTAACCCACAATGCAGTGGCTCCTTAGTCTATGATTTTTTTTTTTAAGTAAATGATAAATTATATATTGCAGCAACAGCTGATACACCTTTGATGTGTTGATGTTTCCCTTTACAGACAGGATTTTTTATATTTTAGTTGATAATGATGAATACTGTATTATTTAGATTGTTTCATTTTATAAATATTCATATACAATGTAGCAGTATCTGGTAAGTACCTGCTCAGTGCTACTATGAGAACAAACCAGGAGGAAGGAAGTCATAGAAATTATGCAGTATATATTACAGGAAACGTTTTCCTCGTCCACTTTTTGGCATTTTCACGAGTTAAGAAAGCATTTATCTTAAATGGTTAGGCAGCCTAAATTACTGGTCATAGCAATAGCTGACAGGCAATTTTGGGCTATTTTTCCTGTCCATTGTTTATGTAATAGAAGTAATGATAAAATAGTATTTATTGTATTAATGAAAGAAAAAAATGACATGATGATTTTTATGTACAAAAAATTTATTGATTAAGTTAGGTACTGGCAAAATTGCCCAAAACAACCCATCAGTTATTGCTGTGGCCGGTAATTTAGTCACTGCCTATCTTATATAGTGAAATGCCCTGAAGTTGGTAGTTCAGAAGTGCATGGGCTCCTAAGAAATACGATATATTAAAGCAAGTACAGTAATCATGAAATAATTTATACTGTATGTGTTTTGCACTGGCAAGCTCTCCACACACTCCTGTTGACAACTTCCTCAAGTAATTGGAGATTACATTCCTATCTGGACATTAATTAATAAACAATCATAAGAATCTTAACTCTATCTTAAGACTCACAGGATTTGTAATGATATCAAGGTGATAAACAACTGTACAGTACTTTGAATGACTTCCTATTTCATGGAGTGCCAAAGCTGTGTATGAAGTGACAAGGTGGAATTATACTTTTTGTAAATACTTGTACACAACTGGGAGACCGGTAGCGGCAGGACACAGACTGAGCGGATGTAAACAAACTCCACGAGCCAAACTGCATTTGGCACGGAATATTTACGGAATCACGCTCGATTTAATCGAAAGGGGTGGCTCGAATTAGTTTGTTAAATTGAGAAAATACTGTATTATATATATATATATATATATATATATATATATATATATATATATATATATATATATATATATATATATATATATATATATATATATATATATATATATATATATATATATATATATATATATATATATATATATATATATATATATATATATATATATATATATATATACCTATCACAACACACAGACTAGTCTGTAGAAGATGTGAATTACACCAAAGCGCTTGGGAACTTTGTGTTTTCTTCTTTCCTTGTGGTTATCAGCATATACCTAGATCACGCGCACCTACAGTGATTTACTCACATATATATATATATATACATACGAACTGTCTCGTAAATCGGGTTCGAGTTTTCTCGTAATTGGGTGCTAGTTGACATGTTCTGATGGGTTCGAGTTATCTCGTAATTGGGTACTAGTTAAAATGTTCTGATGGGTACGATTTGCTTGGGTACGAGTTGTCCAGCAACCCGGCATTGTGAGCGAAAACTTGTCATTTAGGGGAAAAATCCTAAAACTGGTGTTATGAGAAACAATTTTCTCATCCACTTTTTTGTTTTTCATAAGGTAAGTTATCCTCTATTGTCTAATGTCCTAAAGTTGTTAGTTCTGAGGCACAAAAGATCTCAAGAAATATCAATTAGAATAATTATGAAGACCTATCATTATTAGTGTATTTTTCTAAGTAATTATCTTCAGTATGTTTTTATATAACTCAAAAGAGATCAATTTCGATATTTTAAAAATAATGGAGGAAATGTGAGAAGTAAATAAAGATTGTGAGAACACCAGCGTCAGTGGCCAGAGCACCCCGTGCAATTAGGCAAGTCATAAAGTTGACAGACTGCTGCAATGCTTCGTGTTAATGGCTTTGATCCCAAACCTGGTAATCCTGAAGGAGCCGGCAAACACCAGAACGTGATGCTTGATTTCGTTAATCTTTCCACAGATTGTCTTTGGATGATAGTAATACAAATGGGTAATTATTCAGATAATGACCATCTGCCATTTTTCATTGAACATTGGTTTAAGAATTCCCAGTTTTTACTGATTTATTAGGAGATACTGTATTATGTTAGGAAAAATAAAAAAATGGTTGAAATCATGTGTTAACCTAACTAAACCTCAGAAAACCTAGCTAATTTAACCTAACCTATATATTAACTCGCCTATACCTAGAAAACTAAGCATTTAAAAGAAAATTAATAGAACAAAGTAATCACCGTACAAAATGTGTCTAAAAACACCCTCATAATTACCGAATTTCTGACGGTTATGTCCCTTATAATTACCAAAATGCTGATGGCCACGGTACATTGTTTACATCTGCCACATCACAGATGATAGAGAAACTGCAAGATTCGGTATAACTGCAGTTTCAACAATACACAGCTAACAGTTCAAACCATCCCCAACTTTTAGATCTCCTTATTTGGAGTATTTCTAACCCCATTTCAACCAGTCGAAAATGAATAATAGCGTCAGAAATGAATTTGAATGATTTTTCATACTTTTACAACAGTCTAAGGTTAGGTTACCTTTAGATTACTTGGATTCACTCAGATTTCATTACTTTGGGGATTCAATACTTCCTAAAATAAAAAATCCAAGCCAATCTTTGCCAAAATTGGCTCGGATAATAAAATTTTGGCTTTTATTTACTCCTCAAAAACGGAAACTCCGAGCCAACTTTGGTGATTTATATCACATATCACTCATTTTGTCTTTCCCCCCACCCAAAAACCACGAATTCCCACATGCCCTCCAAGATTGTTGGAGGGTAGGTCAAGTTCGATTGAATCACACCAAAAAACACTGGAAAGCACACTGCTCAACTACTAGGGCATATTGTTCGCAGCTGCAGTTTTATCCAAGATGCTATTTAACTCGCCTATACGGTATCTCGAAAACTAAGCATTTTCCCAGGAAAATTAATAAAGGTGAAAGTAATCAGCAGATAAAACTCCATAATTACTGAACCACATGCCAACATAGTTTTTTTTTCAGCTAAATATTTGTTAAATAATTAATTTCCTTGCATACAAAGAACCTCCAAACATCATTTTAGTGTCATATGATCAGTTTTTCACCTATGTTGTACCGTGCAATATCCCTAATCGTTCATGCCCTGCCCACTACAGGTGATTTATGATCATAGAGAACTAAAAAGAATAAAAATAAATACTTATTAATAAAATAAAATAAAATCATATTTTTATTATATACTTACTACCATGGGTAATTAATGACAACTGACCCATGGCTAACTTTTCATAGAAATCGATTATGATAATGCCACAATTTCAGTGTGTTTTATAATGGACACTATCGTAGTTTGTGCAAATGTGTTAAAAGGTGGTTCTTTCTAAATTAACCTAACCTAACCTTACTTAATATGAAAAACAAGCAGCAGAAGTGTTGTTAGAAGACCTCACCAACCTAACCAAACAAACCTACCTAACCTTACCTAACTTTCTAGCCTGCAGCCTTCCGGGTATATTAAACAGAAAGAACTTACAATGATAAGGTGTAATTTATGTTTTTTGTGGGCATGAGAGCAGCCGTCCATACTGAACGGTTCAGAAGCATACTCTGAGCATCAGCATTGATCCGGTCAGGGCAGCTGAGTGTTTGGAAATACATCAATATGATTGGCTGTTTATATCCTGGGATGAGACATCTCCACCACATTGCCGCCAAGAAGACAAGGTAGTGCGCGCCTAGGTGCCTAATTATCAACAAAATGAAGCATTTGCACAACAAATGATTATCATATCAGAACTGACTGATGAAAATAGAATAAGAAAATAAACAGCAAAACAAATAACTTGTCCGCAGTTCTGTTATCAATATTAACCCTATCATCAAAACATCTATAGAAAAAATGAATAAAATCGAACAACTCCTTCTGGTGTTAGCCATCTGCACTAGTATTACCCAAAACCTCTCTCACAGATCCTGTTACAAAATAATGGCTGAATTTCGTTGTTCCAATATCAGATGCATAATGATCATGAGCTAATATAAAACTATTTTTTTAAACTGCCCAAATGGCATTAACTGTTCCTTATCCTAAAATAGCATGGTTGATTAGCTATGGTATAAGTGGAGTTTTCTTGGTTCACTTCGTCACTATAGTATTTAATTCAATTTATGCTACCTCTTCTCTGACACAAAACCTGTACTCTTTATATTAAAACAAATATGTCAGCGGAAGTCCCGTCCATAAATAAGACTACACACCTTTTATCATCACATACAGTACATAGGAATAGAAGACAAACATCAGCATTAACTTGACGTTCTAGCAATAAGTTATACCTGTATAGTAATTAGTAAAGAACCTGAGGTCCTAAATTCTCAAAGATTCATATGTTGAAATTTCCTCATAACTACGTTAGAATGTTTAAAACACTGCTCCTTTACTTCCTGACTTAAGGTAAAAGCAATAATAGTACAGAAATTGTAATGAAACTATACCTTGGTAGGTTCAATTAGCACCAGTTTAGGGGAACAGGTTAATGTCGAGAATTTTATGTGACTCCGGACCGTGAACCTGTTGCTGCTTCACGAACCAAAACACTCGGTTATGGTTGACTCACTTTTGTGCTTCTCACTGTTCTGTGGCCCTCACCCGGCACTCCCCAGCCTCAAACTACACTCACACTGCACCTACACGGCCTACATTTGCACTGCATAGACACCCCAACCTTACTAGGTTGCGAAATAAACATGGAAATAATGTGCAAAAACTGGGCTCACTCACCTTGCCTGGTTAGTGAGTGAGGCTGTGGTCACTACAGTTGCTTACTACCATTTACTGTTCCTCGCACTTATTAATTACACTCGAGTTAAAACCCTAAAACTTCCATCTAATATTAACATCATACACCTAAGTACATTTTCGTTCTGCATTGGTGAGTTAATATTTTTTTTGTATATAAATATATTGGCATTTATTTAATGCAGGTTGAAAATTTTATCAGGAATTTAGTGCAATGAGAACAGGTTTGTGAGCTACGACGTCACTGATTGGTCGACCCACCGGTGATCAAACGAGGGTTGCCAACATCCTATTTCCGGTGCCCTTAGTACTGCAGTCATAATACCTTGCAATGAAGTAAAATCTCGTAAAAACTAGTATCGAAAAAAAATAACTATTTAGTAGCTCAAAATTCATTTCATTTTTTTTGCGTGAACGAGCTACTTAAACAAGAGCATATAATTGGCATGTTGTCAACTCGATCTGGTGTAAACAAACCTGTTCAGTGGAGATTGAAGGTGGGGAGTAGGTGGAGTGGTTGGGGGTAGCAGGGGGTTATTATGTAGCTCAGGGCCACGGCCACTTGGCTTGGGAAGGGGGAGGAGATGAGGAAAGCAGCAGGGGAGAATATTTTACTCATTCTCTCTCATCCTGCCATATGCGTATAAAATAAGATCCGGGATTTAAAAAAAATGAAGGATAGGCAGTTACGTCTGCAGTGGTTTGTTGGAACCAAAAGGAGCAGATGTGGGATTGATTTTCATTTGATTTTGCCGCTTACAGCGGCTACTTTATTGTGCACCCCACACTCATCCTGTGAGCGGTAGCGCGAAAGGATTACAGAGTAGTTTACAACGGGTCATAATAATTAACCCCCGTTGTCAGGATATTATGACACTGAATGTTACACAGTATTTCAATTACATTATTTGCTTAGTTCCATACATAAAGGATAACTTATTCACAAATGCGTGAGTACAGGCGTGTGGGGCAGTATGTCTGGCCTCACACTTTGTTAATCACATTTACGTGAGAAGTATTCAAGCACATTGCGTATTTGGTTCTGTACATGAGAACTGATATAGTTACTAAGTGCAAAAAAGTGGATACTATCTTAATATGTCGGCTATCTTGCCATTAGAGAAGAAGTGCTGTACCATTTCACACAGTGTGCTTGGACCTGTCCCTAAAAGGTTCTATCTTCACACAGTCAAGAACGTAGTGTTCAAGTGTGTGGCCATATGTCTGGCCACACACTTTACATTTAGTCTTGTTTACATCTGCTTGAGGAACATACTGCCAGAGGTACTTATATCCTAACCTTAGTCTAGCGGTTACAACATCTTGTAATCTAGTGATCTTGTTACTTGCTCCATATACATGTTTCACTTGATACATCTCATCATAGTAAACTATGGATCGACTAGTACCTGCTTGCACTAGTCTACATGCGTCAAACTCATCAATAAGTTCTTTCCTAATTACAGTTTTAAGGGTGTGGGAGATGAAGAGTTAATACATATTCAATAATATCGTCATACAGTTCACATCGATTCATCATAGTATATATACAGTGTAGATATACAATGAACACAGTGCAGGTATACAACAATGCGCATAGAACCATAGACAATGCGGTATATACATTCGCCTACCTATTTACAGTGGCTGGCACGTTTTGTGAATATATTTTTTATTTTTTTTGTCGAGAACAGCAGCTAGTTTATTGTGCACCCAATACTCATCCTGTGAGCGGTAGCGAAAAAAAAAAGATTACAGAGCAAAGACCACAAAGGGTCTAACAGGCCCCAGTGGTCATAAATTGGCAGTCCTTTACAAGGTTGTTTCGTAGAAGATGTTCCATCATGCTCTCTAGTATTTTACACACTATGCTGGTCAGGTTCACTGGTCTATAATTATTCATTGCAGTGACGATCGCCCTGCTTGAATATTGGATTGACATAAGCCATTTTCCAGTCACAGGGAACCTTTTGTTCATTCAGGCATCTACCGAACAATATCTTAGGGGACTCAGCAAGCACTCTGGGATGGATCATATTATTAGGGCCATGGTTTTTAAGAACCTTCAATTTTGACAATTTGTTTCTTTAGTCCGCATTTGAGAACACATAATAGGTCAGCGCTGTGTCAAACAGCTTTTCCGCGAATGCAGGAAGATTGTTCGCATCCTTTTTCATGAACTTCGAGTAAAAGGATTTGTTTCAACCTCGCCTTGTCCTGATCTGAGTCTGAGTAGCTACCGTCTTCAAGCGCCAGATCCGATACGCCCACGTGTGTTTTGAATTTAGATTTTGTGGAACAGTAAAAAGTATTTTGGTTTATCTTGACCTTGTTTGTAATCCGTCTCAGGAACTCTTTCGCAGCCGCCCTTCTGCACTCTGACTTTGCTTGGTTCCTGGACCTGGCATATACATCCTTCTATTCTGCTCGTCAGTTGTTGTAATCCACTTCTTGAATTCTTGAGATTTTTTCTTAACTTTGTCAACCACCGTATGGTTCACGTGTAACGGTCCTCTTGTATTCCTGAAACCAGTGGGTTTGGTCTAGGCATGGGCGTCCGCAGGGAGGGGTAAGGGGGGGCATTTGCCCCCACCCCTGGAAAATAAAAAATTTGAAAAAATTACATGGAAAATACAAAATGAATAAAATAACATAAACATTTCTCAACAGTTCATTCAGTTAGAGCAGGTTACTACTCTTGGAACAGGAATTGGAGCCGTCGGGGATCTCTTCCGAAATTGTCAATGATGTCTTCACACTTCACACGTCGAATTCAGGATAACATTGACCCCCCCCCCCTGCATTTTTTTCTGCGGACGCCCATGGGTTTAGGGCAGGGGTTCTCAACCAGGGGGGAATTCAGGTTTTCAGGGGGGGGGGGGAAACTGATTCGGGAGCAAGAGATATATTCGATGAGAAATCAATCACAGAATTTTGGCCCTTGATGTGCGATTCCTACCCAAAAGTGGCAGAAAGAGCTATCCGTGCATTGCTTCCGTTTGTGTCGACATATCTTTGTGAGTCAGGCTTTTCAACTCTGTTGCAAATTAAAATGAAGCAGCGTAGTAGATTAGAGGTAGAAAATGACCTGCGTTGTGCCCTTTCAAGCACTCCTCCGCGTATCCCAGAATTGGCGAAGAAAAAACAATCACAGGTTTCTCATTGACTGTAATCTTCATCTGAATAAAATTAATTACAAATTTACAATATCCTGGTATTCTAGTGAACTTTTTGTTTATTGCATTATGCTTCAATTTGGTCTGTTAAGTAATTTATTATAAATAAAAAAAACTATTTTATTTTTATTCAAGTTTTATAAATCCACCAACATTTTCAATTGGCATTTAATTTGTAAAACTCCACTATAAAAATAATCCATGTAAAATTGTAAATGTATATGTACTAATATGGAAAAAATAAAGGATTTTCAGTATTATATTCATATTATTTGGAATGCACTTTTTGAGGCAGACAATTTTGGAAAGGAGGGGGAATGACATTCTGACATATGGTGAAAGGGGTGCATGGGGCAAACAAGGTTGAGAACCACTGGTCTAGGGTATGCATTTATCTATCAAATACTTCACTTTACTGGCTATAATATTCAGCGTAGTGCCTGCGTTCTAATACTCTGTAACACTCAATGCCATAACTGCTCGACACAATTACTCAAGGTGCTGCATGTTTGGACTCAAATTTTGGAAGAGGGCGGGAATACTGTACAGACAATATATATCTTGATTTTGCCAAAGCTTTCGACCCCATGAAAGTTTGTGAATTAATCTGGAAAGATACGGGGTTTGGGGAAGTGTCCTAGCGTGAATTGGAGACTCTTCATGATTGATTTTGATTTTGCCGCTTACAGCGGCTACTTTATTGTGCACCCCACACTCATCCTGTGAGCGGTAGCGCAAAAGGATTACAGAGTAGAGTTTACAACGGGTCATAATAATTAACCCCCGTTGTCAGGATATTATGGCACTGAATGTTACACAGTATTTCAATTACATTATTTGTTTAGTTCTATACATAAAGGATAACTTATTCACAAATGCGTGAGTACAGGCGTGTGAGGCAGTATGTCTGGCCTCACACTTTGTTATTCACATTTACGTGAGAAGTATTCAAGCACATTGCGTATTTGGTTCTGTACATGAGAACTGATATAGTTACTAAGTGCAAAAAAGTGGATACAATCTTAATATGTCGGCTATCTTGCCATTAGAGAAGAAGTGCTGTACCATTTCACACACAGTGTGCTTGGACCTGTCCCTAAAAGGTTCTATCTTCACACAGTCAAGAACGTAGTGTTCAAGTGTGTGGCCATATGTCTGGCCACACACTTTACATTTAGTCTTGTTTACATCTGCTTGAGGAACATACTGCCAGAGGTACTTATATCCTAACCTTAATCTAGCGGTTACAACATCTTGTAATCTAGTGATCTTGTTACTTGCTCCATATACATGTTTCACTTGATACATCTCATCATGGTAAACTATGGATCGACTAGTACCTGCTTGCACTAGTCTACATGCGTCAAACTCATCAATAAGTTCTTTCCTAATTACAGTTTTAAGGTTTTTTTTTGACAGACCCAAATTGTATTGAACGGTGTCTTGTTAGACGCGAGTTTGGGGAGGGCATCAACTCTGTCATGTTTTATGAGGCCTATGTGAGAGGGGATCCACAACAGTTTGACCTTGACACCCCGGTCAACAAGGCAAGCATATTTGTGTCTGGCTTCAGAGACAAGAACGTGACAACCTGAGTCGAGGGTGCCAAGGGCAAGTAGTGAGGATAGAGAGTCAGTGACGATGAAACTGTCAGTGACAGTGGTTTCAATGAATTTAATAGCTGTGAGTATGGCAACTAATTCAGTTTGTAGAGTGGATGCCCAGTTGTTAATTCTAACTCCTTTCTCAACTATATTACCGTTAGGTTGAGTCACAACAATAGCACTTCCAGCCCTCCCACAGGCGGTGTTAAGA